TCCATCCATCCATCTATCTATCCATCCATCCATCTATCTATCCATCCATCCATCTATCATCTATCTATCCATCTGTCTATCTGTCCATCCATCCATCCATCCATCCATCCATCTATCCATCCATCCATCCATCCATCCATCCATCTATCCATCCATCCATCTATCCATCCATCCATCTATCCATCCATCCATCTATCCATCTATCTATCCATCCATACATCTATCATCTATCCATCTATCCGTCTATCATCTATCTATCCTCTATCCATCCATCTATCTATAATCTATCCATCTATCTATCCATCCAACCATCATCTGTCCATCCATGTATCTATGTATGTATCTATCTATCCATCTATCTATCCATTCATTTATGTATCTATCTATCCATCCATGTATCTATCCATCTATCCATCCATCCATCTATCATCTATCTATCCATCTATCTGTCCATCCATCCATCCATCTATCCATCTATCTATCTATCATCTATCTATCCATCTATCTGTCATCTATCTATCCATCTGTCTATCTGTCCATCCATCCGTCTATCTATCCATCTATCTATCTATCCATCTATCCATCCATCTATCTATCATCTATCCATTTATCTATCTATGTATCCATCTATCTATCTATCCATCCATCCATCCATTTATCATCTTCTATCAATCATGTACCTATTTGTCTATCCATCATCTAATCTATGTGTCATGCATCTTTCCTATCCATCATCTCTGTCTATCATCTGTCTATCTTCTATTTGTTTACCTATGTACCTACCTATCTATCCATCCACCCATCTGTCACCTAAGTCATATCACGAAGGTCTCCCAGTGCCCCATTGTGCTGACCCGGCCGAGGGACAGCCTGGAGTCTGAGAGCATACACCACCTGCCAGGATGTTCTCAATGCTGCCCAGCGTCGGGCCCTTTACCAGAGTGCCCCAGTCGTCACAGAAGGCTTCTGTGTTATGAGGTCGCGGCCCAAATGAGGGTCACTGATGTCCCCTGAAGGCACGTGTCCTGAGCAGTGTAGAGAATGGGCCTCTGTCTCCAAATCCGGCCGCATTCTGAGCCCTGGGGGTCAGGGCCTCGACCTCTGAACCTTAGGGGGGACACCGTCCAGCCCGTGGCACGTTGGTTTTTCTCCCGTGGGACCATTTTTTGTGCTCAGTATTCAGTGATTTGGTTCTGCCTTGTGCCAACCTGGTACTACCTGGCCTAACCCCACGGCTCCCTGGAGGAGAAGGTCCCGTTGACGAGTTAAATACTTCTGACGCTTTCACCTCCGTCCTTTGAGGCCACGGGAGTAAAACGTACTCGACAAGTCACGTCCTGACTCCCTTTGTCCTGGTCTTTCGCACAGGCCCTGTTCACGGCCTGCAAGCTGAAGGTGTTTGATTTACTCAAAGACGGAGCCCCCCTGAAGGCCGTGGACGTTGCCGGCAAGCTCGGCGCCTCCGCGTGTGGGACGGGACGGCTGCTGGACGCCTGCGTGGCCCTGGGGTTCCTGCAGAAGACGGACAGAGGTCAGCGGCTGCCGCAGGGCTGCCCGGGAGTCTTTGCGGGCGGAAGCGGGGCACCGAGTGAGGGCGGGGAGGGCGCGACCTTCCGTCCGTCTGCCCGGGGAGCGTGGCCGTTCCCCAGAGGACGGACGACAGGAAGGAAGCAGAGGCGGCTGTGTGAGTGTGAGGAGAGTGACCGCGGATGGGCTGCACGAGGCAGGCGCTCCAGAGAAACTGACCCTGGGAGGAGGGTGTCCAAACGGGGGCTTCTCTTCACCCATTTATTTACATAGACGGACAGACCACGAGGGGGAGGGATGGATGGATGGATGCATACGCAAACACAGATGGAAAATACACAGTCAGACAGATGGATGGATGATCGATAGATAATAGGTAAATAGATCATGGCTCGATAGTTACTAGATAGATGGATGTCAGAAGATGTACATGATGGATGCATGGGCAGGTACATGGGTGGATGGATGATAGGTAGGTAGATAGATAGATATATAGATGATAGATTGATGATAGATGTAGATAGAAAGATACAGACAATATAAATGGATCAATAGGATAGATAGGATGGATGGATGGATAGATGATTGACAGATAAAGTAGATGACAGATGAGATGGATGGTTGGATACATAGAGAGATGACAATAGATGATAGATATAGAGACAAGATAAATATAAATAGATGATAGAGGAGATGGATGGATGAATGGATAGATGCATTGATAGATGATACATACATAGATGTATAGATGATTAAATGGGTAGATAGATAATACATAGATAGATGATAGAAATATGGGTAGAGAAATGACAGATAGATGATAGATAGATGGATATGAGATGGATATACACAGATGATAGATGAGACGGATGGATAGATGGATAGATGGATACATAGATGATAGATATAGATAGATATACATAACACAGACAGATGAATAGACAGGATGGATGGCTGCATAGATGGATGGATAGATGGATAGACAGATGATTGATTGATGATAGATAAAGTAGATGACTGATGAGATGGATGGGCAGATAGATGATAGATATAGATATAAGTAGATGATAGATGAGATGGATGGATACATGGATAGAGAGATGATGGATAGATGATAGATAGCTAGACTGGTGATAGATGGATAAATGGATAGATGGATAGATGGATGGATAGATGGATAGATGGATGGATGGACGGATAGATGGATGGATAGATGGATGATGGATGATGGATACATGGATAGATGGATAGATGGATAGATGGATGGATGGATAGATGATAGATGGATGGATGGACGGATGGATGGATGATGGATGGATGATATGGATGGATAGATGGATGATGGATGGATGGATACATGGATAGATGGATGGATGGATGGATGGATGGATAGATGGATGGATGGATGGATGGATGGATGGATAGATAGATGATGGGTAGAGAGTTGATAGATAGATAGCTGGATAAATGGGTAGATGGATGGGTAGACAGGTGGGTAGACATAAGTGGATGAGATGGACGGCTGGATGGACAGACGGCTGGATGACAGTCCGCGTTGCTGACAGGCCAGCACGGTGTCCGAGCAGAGGGCACCCCGGATGGTCCCTGAGCAGCTTGGGAAGCTCGGGGGCAGGAGAGGCCTCTCTGCTTCTGTGAGAAGGGGGAAAGCGAGGGTCCGGGGGAGGCCCCAGCCCTGCCCTTCACACAAGGCGTGCAGACTACACCCTTAGGATTTGCAGCACGGAGAGCAGGACTCCCTCCGCAGCCAGAGTGTTGCAGGAACATTCTCCTCTGCTCCAAATAAGGACCCAACGGGGAGAAAGGCTCCCACCTCCAGACTTTTAACCCCTGGTCCCCGGGGAGCGTCTCCTGATTCCTTTTGGCAGACACCGTTCACGGGTCTCCACCCCAACCCCGATGGCCGGGGTTCTGTGGGGCCGCCACGTCCGAATCCCGTCCTCTGAAAGCTCAGTAGGCGGCAGAACTCCTCCTCCCCCAGCGGAATCCCAGTCTCTGCTTTGGAGCCCGTCAACTGATTGGGCGAGGCCCACCCACATTCCCCCCAGGGTCGTCCCCTTGACTTCAGGTCAGCAAGACGGTGTTGGCGTTCGCCTCTCAACGGTGCCGAGCGGCTCCCTCCCTCCCGGGTGTCCCCGGGGCCCCCCCCACCCCGAGAGAGACCCCCCCCCCCCACGACGCCCTCTCCTCCCAGGTTACAGCAACACAGAGACGGCCAACCTGCACCTGACGTCGGACGGGGCGTACTCCCTCCGCGGCCTCGTCTTGCACCACAGCGACCACCCCTGGGACCTCTCCGCACGCCCGGAGTCGGCCGGCCGAGACGGGGTCGACCCCCACGACGGGGCCCTGGGCGAGAGGACGGGACCCCCGTGCCAGGTAACCGTCCCGTTCGCGACACGCGCGTCACCGAAGGGCCCGTGGGGACGGCGTCCATCTCCATCTGTGGGATGACGGGAACCTTCTAGAAAACCACTGAGCTTCTGGACCCCGGGATCCAGCAGGGGCCGGGGCGTTTGGGGTGGAAGAGCTCAAAAAGGGGGATTCCGCGGGATGGACACGTGCTCACTCGGCCGCGGGCCCAGCACCCCCTGCAGCCTCGCCGCCCGCAGCCCCCTGTCCCGGGAAAATCTCCGGGGCCGACTCGCTGTGGGTCCCGTCGGGCCCGACTCGGGTGGCGGGAGGGGGGTCTGCGGGGCGGAGACCCAGGGGGGGCTGCGGCCGAGGGCGGAACCCATGGAAGGCGGCCAGGCAGGGGTGTCTGTGAGACAGAGAGAGACAGAGATCAGAGAGGCTGAGACACAGAGACACAGAGACAGAGAGAGACAGTGAGAGACACAGGCAGAGACCTGGACGCGGCCCCGTCACAGCCTCGAGGTCGAGGGGGACGCAGGACGGGCCGGCCCCGCGGGATGTCAGTGGGCAGGGGGCGGGCAGGCCACGGCGTCCGCGTGCGTCTCCCAGACCCCCTTCTGTTCCAGGCGTCCTGCGCCCACAGCGAGGAGACGAGGCTGGGGCTCCTGCGGGCCATGCACAGCCTGGCCAAGCTGACCGCACGCCACGTGGCCACGGCCTTCGACCTGTCCCGCTTCGGCTCCGCCTGCGACCTGGGAGGTGCGTAGACCCCGCCGGGGAACCGAGCGCAAAGGGCTCCCAGGAGACAGGACGAGCAGACCCCCCACCCGAGAGAGGCAGTGGGATCAGGGTCCCCGGAGGACACCCGAGCTGTCAGCTTCTGTTTCCCCATCCTCTGTGCACACCCTTCCGGTGGCCCAGAGTGGCTGCTGTGGCGCCAGCATCGCGCCTGCATTTCCGCAGCAGAAAGGAGAAGGGAAGAGCAGAGCCCCCCCCCCGCCCACCGTGCTTCGCTCTGAGGATTCCCCAGGGAGTGTAACCCCACGTTCGCAACGTCGTTTCAGTTTTGCCGAGTTCAACCCTGGAGACTCGCCAGGCGTCCCGAGGCTGCGGTCCCAAAGTCTGTGTTTGCACCCCGCAGGCTGCACGGGCGCCCTGGCCTACGTGCTCGCCCGGGAGTACCCGCGGCTCCGGGTGACCGTGTTCGACCTCCCAGAGGTCCTCCAGCACGTCGCGGGTTTCCAGCCCGACGGACCGCGCACGGAGCAGGTCAGCTTCCTGCCAGGTGAGCGCCCGTGTGCGTCTGCCGGGCGTCGACCTTTGGCCGGCCTCATGCGTGTGTCATGCAGAGCGGCGCACGCGTGTGCGTGTGTGCGTGTGCATCTTGGGGTCACGAGAACGGGAGGGCAAGGTCAGCGGCGTCGGGAGCAGCCAGGGCGGGAGGAGAGGGGAACGGCCGACACGGCCATGTGCAGGGGTCTCCGACCGACTGCCTGACTGAGGCCACCAAAGCGACCGTGGGCACAGAGAAGTGACCCTGGGGCTTGATTCAGGGCCGCCTCCTCCAGGAAGCCCTCCTCTCCATCCTGGATTCAGGGCCGCCTCCTCCAGGAAGCCCTCCTCGCCATCCTTGATTCAGGGCCGCCTCTTCCAGGAAGCCTTCCTCTCCATCCTTGGATTCAGGGCCGCCTCCTCCAGGAAGCCCTCCTCTCCATCCTGGATTCAGGGCCGCCTCCTCCAGGAAGCCCTCCTCTCCATCCTGGATTCAGGGCCGCCTCCTCCAGGAAGCCCTCCTCTCCATCCTTGATTCAGAGCTGCCTCCTCCAGGAAGCCCTCCTCTCCATCCTTGATTCAGGGCCGCCTCCTCCAGGAAGGCCTCCTCTCCATCCTTCCCTTCATCACACCTGCAAAGACCCTGTTTCCAACCCGGCCCCGGGTTCTGGGGGCCAGCAGTGGATTCTATCTTTTTGGGGGTCACGGTTTGCCCACGACAAGCAGGGCGTCTGCTTCAGCAGCTCCAGAGGCCGGGACATCCCGTCCCCGTCAGGTGTCCGACCCGTTCTTAGGTCCCTGACGACTGACTGACTGACTGACTGACTCCCTCCCTCTTGTTTGCAAACCAGGCGACTTTTTCGAAGACAGCCTCCCGGAGGCCGATCTGTACGTTGTCTCCCGAATCCTGCGTGACTGGCCGGACGGCAAGGTCCACGAGCTGCTGAGCCGCGTGGCGCGTGCCTGCAAACCAGGTGAGGCCACGGCGTCCACGTCCCTCTTGCAAAACCTAATTTTCGTTTAAAAAAAAAAAAAAAAAACCAGCAAGTTTGACAGAGAGAGTTAGCCGCCCCATCCACCCTGTGGCGGTCGGTTCACCGTCTCCCCGAGGACGGGCTTGATTCTCGGCCGGTGGCACAAGCTTCTGAAGTTTTGGAGACTGGGCCCCGACCTGTGCTCTCTGGGGGGGCGGGGGGGGGCTCCCCTGAGTCCCAGCGTCCTGGCCCCGCAGAGCCCGCGACGACCTGTGGGGTCTCCCGCCCCACACCCGTCCAGAGAACGGAACCCACGGGATGCGTGTGTCTGTTCCGAGAGGGATTTATTATAAGGAGTAGGTTCCCGCGATGGTGGAGGCTGACCCATCCGGGCCGCAGACTCAGGGGAGAGCGGGGTGGCAGGTGGAGTCTGACGCTGTCCGGAGGCAGAATTCCCTCTTCCTCGGGGGAACCCCACGTCCTGTTGCTCTTGGCGCCTTCAACTGATTGGGCGAGGCCCACCCACGCGATGCAGGTCCATGCTGCGGCCCGACCCGACCCAGGGCCTCCGCAGGCCGGCCGCTCTGCATCCTCCCAGCCTCCCGAGAATCCCGGGGGTCCCGTTGGCCAACACGGGGTCCGAGAGGTGCCAGCAGCTTCCGAGCCCCAAGTTCTGCCAGGGGACGAGACCCCCCAGGACTCAGGGGGACGTGCGTGGGAACCGGGGCACCGAGCAGCCACAGACACGCCCAGAGAGGGTCCCTCCCCTGCAGCCTCCGGAGGGAGCTCGGGCCCCGTGACCCCCGTGACCCCTTGATTGTCCCCAGAGGGAGAAATTCCCCCCCCCAGGGCCGCGCCGAGAGCTGAAAGCGGGCTCCGGGAATAGAAATAAGCCTTCTGGAAAAGCGCCACAGCAGCCCCCCCCTCACGTGCATTTTCCACCCTCGCCGCCCGGGTCTCCCGGGTCCCGGTGGGGCCGGTGCTGACCTGCTCCCCGGGGCTCCACACCCGGGTCCCTCACCAGGGTTGCACCGTGAACGGGGGCCCGGATGGCATTCGGGAGGCGGGGGCCTCCGTCCCCACCATCGGCCTTCCTCACGCGTTTGCACACGGTGACTTCCCTCCCTCCGGGGAGCCCCTGTGGTGCCTGCCCTGGACCCGGCGCCCCAGGCTGGGTCCTGAGACGTCTCCCTCTCTGTGTCTCTGTGTCTCTGTCTCTCCATGTCTCCTGTGTGTCTCTGTGTCTCTGTCTCTCCTCTCTGTCTCTCCTCTCTGTCTCTCCATCTCTGTGTCTCTCTGTTTCTGTCTCTCCTCTCTGTGTCTGTCTCTCCTCTCTGTCTCTCCATGTCTCCTGTGTGTCTCTGTGTCTCTGTGTCTCCCTCTCTGGTTCCCCAGGCGGCGGCCTCCTGCTGGTGGACGTGGCGGCGGGGCCCGAGGCGGAGGCGGAGGCGGAGGGGCTGCGGCGGCGGGCCGGCGGGGAGCGGAGCGCGGCCGTCTACGCGCACCTGCTGCGGCGCCTCGGATTCGCGGACGTGCGCGCGGCGGGCGCGGGGGGCCGTCCGCTCGCGCTCCTGGGCACCCGGGGCGCCCCCTGACCCGCGCTGTCCCGGCCCCCGCGCTGCCCCCGCGGGATGCATGAGTCCGGCCCCAGGGCCCGCTCCCGGGTGGGGTGGGAAAACGGGGTGCCGTGGGGCGCGGTGAGGGCGGCCCCCATGCCTCTCCCACCGCCCGCCGTCCTCGCGCCTCCGCCACCTGCGCCAACGCGGGGCCCCGTGATTGACAGCTCCGTCGGCCACGCCCACCCTGCACCGCGCGTGCGCGCGCCCAGCCTCCCCCCGCGCCCACCCGGCCGGGCTGTTCCCGCCAGTGTCGCTGATCCGTGTTGGGCAAACAGCAAGCCCCCGCGAGGAACTCGGCACAGCAGGCAGCTGCAAGTGTGGAGCACCTTAGACGGGGCTGTTCGGATACAAGGTCGCCATTAGGAAACACTGTCACCAGTAGAGACGGTTTCTGAAACAGACTGTAACCAAAAAGAATTAGGAGCGCCAGCGGAAGGACCTGCAACTGGAACACACGACCGTGCACTCAGGGCTTTCGGAGGAAAAGGGAAAAAAAAAAATTGTTAGATAAAACGCCCAACTGTGCGATGGGGTCACCTTCCCACGGGCCCCCCTGTGGGTGTGACAGGTCACTCTCGCTGTCCAGCTCAGGCCAGCACAGGTAACTAACGGACAGACCTACGGGCCTTTGTATAAACTGTTTCTCTGTGCAAGATATTTTATTTTATTTTATTTTATTTTATTTTTTAAAGATTTTATTTTTTTCCGTTTTTCTCCCCAAAGCCCCCCGATACATAGTTGTGTATTCTTCGTTGTGGGTCCTTCTAGTTGTGGCATGTGGGACGCTGCCTCAGCGTGGTCTGACGAGCAGTGCCACGTCCGCGCCCAGGATTCGAACCAACGAAACACTGGGCCGTCTGCAGCGGAGCGCGCGAACTTAACCACTCGGCCACGGGGCCAGCCCCTGTGCAAGATATTTTAAATAAATTCAACACAAATTACGTATTTTATATATAAACGTATAGATATATGTTTATAATTGACATACTATTATCATTGTAGAAATACTATTATAGTTTTCATGCTATCATAATTTTATAGCTATTACAATTTTTATATCGGGACAAACTACATCTTCTATATGGTAAATATATATACACACAAATACATAATTTTGGACGGACCCCAAATTTTTTTTAAAAAAAAGCACAAATTGGGGGCCGGCACAGTGGTTAAGTTGGTGCACTCCACTTTGGCGGCCTCGGGTTCGAGGGTTCGGATCCCGGGCGTGGAGCTACACACCACTCACCAAGCCATGCTGTGGCAGGCGTCCCACATACAAACTAGAGGAAAATGGGCCCAGATGTTAGCTCTGGGCCCATCTTCCTCAAGAAAAAACAGGAGGATTGGCAACAGCTTTTAGCTCAGGGCCAATCTTCCTCACCAAAAAAAAAAAAAAAAAAAAAAAGAACAGATTGTCTGCACAGGAGGCCAAAACAGAGGAGGCAGGAGGTGAAACCCTGGTCCTAGAGGTACCGAGCCGTCGCACAGGACGCCCACAGCTCACGACCCCTGTGTCTCCGTCCCAGGTGTGGCCCCCAGTGGACCTGCAGCCGCAGGGAACTGGCAGTGACTGGCCCTGAGAGCCAAGGGCTGCACCAGCCCCGCCCTGACCCCTGGGCTGGTGCACAGCTGCCAGCAGGGCCACGTCCTAGGGTGGAGCTGAGGTGACACCGCCCCGGTCACCTTGGCCAGCCCAGTCAGGCCGCTTCCCCTCCCGGAAGAACAGGCCGGGTCCCCGTGGGGGCCGTGCAGCCTTTGTGTTCAGCCGGGCTGAGCAGAAACGGGGGGCGTCCGTGGTGCTAACAGCAACTGGGGTTCAGGGCTGTACACCCGCTCCGGGTGCTGGGAGCTGTGTCAAGGTCACCCGCTTTGTTAGAAGCAACCGACCCTGTCTCAAGGTCACCTGATTTGTGCCTGTCACCAGACGTGCCAGCGCCCCTGCCAGGGCTGCAGGGAGCCGGGCGGGGGCTGAGCCTGGGACCCCGAGAGTGGCCGGCCCCGAGGTCCCACGGCCACGACAGTGCCCTTGCACCGTGGACCCACCCGCTCGAGGGAGCCCCCCACGATGCAAACAAAGCAAGGGCCCGGGGACACTCGGGGAAACTGACCAAGCATCCGTGGGGTCCCCGGACCCCCTGCTCTCCCGCTGTTGGACCACCCGTCACGCAAAAACTGTGTTTAGGGGAGCGTGGTGGGAGAGAGGGTGCACGGGTGCGGGCGCCACGCCTCTTTACAGGGAGTTTATGCTTTAGGAAGCAAGAGGATTTCAAGATTGGAATTCTGGGCAGGGCCGCCTGGCCTGACCCACACCCTCCAGGCCCGATTCATTCATTCATCCAGCCATTCATGCATGCATTCATTCCGTCAGCAGATGTCTTTGCCCTCCAGGACAGTCTGGATGCCTCACTGGGTCAAGTCGGCCCCCAGGAGTGTCGGGGGGAGGGGATGGGACAAGGGGCTGTAAGGACCTCTCTCCCTCTTCACTCCACCTCTCAGCATCCTCTCCTTTCCCGTCTCAGGTGTGCAGTCGGCCTCGGGTCTCCCGGCCCAGGTACACTGAGTTCTGTTTCCCGAGTGCACAGCCCCGCTGCCCTCCCAGGTCAGCTCAGTGGAGCAAAGGGGCCGCGTCACCCTCACACACACACACACATACACACACACGCAACGCTTTCTATGGAAAAAACATGTCCTGAACCCATTAGCAACCGGGAGACCTCATTCCTTCATGCATTCCTTCGCTCATTCATTCATTCATTCCAGAAGCATTTCCCCAGCATGGTCTGGTGCCAGGCCCAGGCGGCCAGGGACCCTCGGGCGCTCAGAGCCTAGTGGGCAGGGTGGCCGCTGGGAATGCAGGCGGAGCACAAGGAGGGGACGTGCGTCCCCGTGCCTGGGGGTTGGGGGTGGGGGGAGCAGATCACTCAGAGGTCAGCAGCCCCACCAGCACGAGAGGAATGTTCTAGTCTCCGGGACACAGGCTCTGAGACAGAAGCAGCTGGTGCCACGGCCTCCCTGGAACCCAGCCCCAGCAGACGCCAACCAGCTGGATCCTGCACGAACCGCTTGGGCGGGCTGGCCTAGGGACGGTCCTCGCCAGGGTCCGTCCCGCCCAGCAGGCTGATGCTGGGGACACAGGAAACAAGGGGAGAGATGCTCTTCTCCCCACACACGGCCCGGAGCCTGATCCCCATCCCCGCCAGGACCTAGGGCTGCCCAGTTCTCATTCCAGAGACCCTCAGGGACTGCAGGGGGTGCGGGGAGCCTCCAGGCACCTCCTCTGCCCCCACCACCCCGCTCCTGGTGAAGCCTCAAGAATGTGCCAGAACCTGCAAGGCCCCAGGGCCAGACCCTGACGCCCCTCCAGGGGTTTCTGGGCCCCGCACCCTCCCCCCGCACCTGCAGCAGGACCGGCCTCCTACCCTGGGCAGCCCCAGGCGCCGCCCTCCCCGCCTCTCCCGGAGGTCAGGGCAGGACGCGGAGGGCGTGCTCAAGGACACTGGGGACCCGGGAAACCTTGGTGCTGCTTACATGCCTGTGTGGTTTGCCACCATTGACCAAGTGACACTGTTACGGCTTGCGCATTTCGTTACAATTCCATAAACAGTTCCCAACATTTCAACACACCTCCAGTCTCAGCAGCTTCCCTGTGCATGTGTGCATGAGCGCGTGTGCATGAGCAGTGTTCACGAGAGCGTGCATGTATGTGGGTGTGTGCGCGTGCATCTGTTTGCACGAGCGTGTGCCTGTATGTGGGTGTGTGCTCGTGCATGCACCAGGGCGTGCGTGCATGTGTGTGAATCTGTGCTCAAGCCTATGTGCACGTGCATGAGCGCAGGAGTGTGCGTGTGCATGAATGCGCGTGTGAGCATGGGCCTGTGGCGAGCAGCACACGCCCCCTGCCCGTCTCGGAGCCCCCACGTCGCCGCGCCCGGCCTGGTGGGGAGGCCCGGAGGCTGCAGCCAGCTGGGCGCCGGCGGGAGAGACAGGACACCAGGCCCCCAGAGCGCGGCGCCCGAGGGCCGCCCGGCGTCACGGGGTCAGGGCTCGGGGTGCCGCGCGGTGGGGGTGGGTCGTCCCGGGGGCTCGTGCGGGCCCCGCGGACCGACACCAGGCCGGGGTCTCCCGCGCAGGGGGCGAGCACGCCCCGGACGGCAGGGCGGCGGGGGGCGTCTCGGGGGGAAGCGAGGGTGGGGGCTCGGGGTCGAGGGTCAGCGGGGCCAGCCCGGGGGTCGCGGCTGGGATCCCGGGGTCGCGGCCGGGGTCCGGGGGTCCGCGGGGCCAGCCCGGGGGTCGCGGCCGGGGTCTGGGGGTCCGCAGGGCGAGCCCAGGGGTCAGCGGGGCCAGGCCGGAGGTCACGGCCGAGGTCCGGGGGTCCGCAGGGCCAGCCTTGGGGTCGCGGCCGGGGTCTGGGGGTCAACGGGGTCAAGCCCGGAGAACACGGCCGGGGTTCAGGGGTCTGCGGGGAGAGCCCCGGGGTCGCGGCCGGAGTCAGGGGTTCCGCGGGGCCAGCCCAGGGGACTCGGCCGGGTTCCGGGGGCCTGCGAGAAGAGCCGGAGGACCCCTCAGACTCCCTGTCCGCCACCGCGGTCGTCCGTCTCACTCGGCCGGACCCCGGCTTGACCTTCACAAGGTCACGGCGGCCGCCGAGCCCCCCGGCCCGCACCGCGCATGGGCGGGGCCGGGCTCCCGCCATGCCTCGGGGCGCGGCGCGCGGAAGAGGCGGGGCGTCAGCGGCCTCGCAGCCAATGGGCGCGGCGGACGGGGGCGTGGGGCGGGACGCGGCGCCAGTCCCGGCAGCCCACGGGGCCGCAGGGCGCGGGAAGGGGCGGGGCGTGGGCGCGCGCGGCCGCCAATGAGCGCGGCGGGCGGAGGCGGGGGCGGGGCGTGGGCACCTTAGCGGCTGCGCGCTGGCCGCCCCGTCCTTTCGGTCCCGGCGGCGGCAGGGCTGAGCCAGCGGCGCCCACCCCTCGGTTCTCCGCGTCCCCGCTCCGCTGTCCGCCCGCTGCGCCGCGCGCTCCGCCACCATGACGGAACAGGCCATCTCCTTCGCCAAGGACTTCCTGGCCGGAGGCATCGCCGCCGCCATCTCTAAGACGGCCGTGGCCCCGATCGAGCGGGTCAAGCTGCTGCTGCAGGTGCGGGCGGCCTGGGGACGCCGGGACGAGGGGCCGGGCGCGGGGGAACTAGTCTGGGCGGGCTGCGGGCACCGGGACCGGCGGGCGGGCGGGCACCGGAAGTGGGAAGCCGCGCCGCTTTGTCCGCGCGCCGCCGGCTTCCGGTGGCGGACCGGGCGCGCGTCACGTGGGCAGGGGCGCGGGCGCGCACGCGCTCTCCCCGCCGGGGACGTCCGCGCGTGCGCCCTGGGGACGGCGAGCCCGGATTCTGCGGGGCTTGTCGAAGGGCGCATGCGCGCGGGGTGGCCGCGTGGACCGAACCCGCGTGGGGGGTGGGCTGGGCGGTGACCTTGGGTGCTCCGTGGGGGGGGGGGCGGGTCCTCTTAATGCCCTTGAGCCTTACACATTTTTTTCTTCCCTTTTGTATTCTATTTGGTTAAAAACCAGAATAAACTATTGTGTAGTCTGAAACGTCGTCCCGCGTGTTGGGAGTTGTTAAGGAATGTATCGCGCTGCTAGCATCATTGTTGCAAGATTTTCTTGCGACACTGTTGCAGCGACGGGCAGCTAATGACCTAAAAGAGCAGGTTTCTCCAGTTGTGAGGTCTCAGGGCACCTCGGGCCACGTGCACGAGCTCGTTTTTCGGAGGACACACCCTGCCCCCGGGGTGATGGTGGATCTTTGGCCAAGGCGCCCGTGTGACCCGGTCCCCCATCGTCCCCTCAGGTGCAGCACGCCAGTAAGCAGATCGCGGCCGACAAGCAGTACAAGGGCATCGTGGACTGCATCGTGCGCATCCCCCGGGAGCAGGGCGTGCTGTCCTTCTGGAGGGGCAACCTGGCCAACGTGATCCGCTACTTCCCCACGCAAGCCCTCAACTTCGCCTTCAAGGATAAGTACAAGCAGATCTTTCTGGGCGGCGTGGACAAGCACACGCAGTTCTGGAGGTATTTCGCCGGCAACCTGGCGTCCGGAGGGGCGGCCGGAGCCACGTCCCTCTGCTTCGTCTACCCCCTGGATTTCGCCCGGACCCGCCTGGCGGCCGACGTGGGAAAGTCGGCCACGGAGCGCGAGTTCAAAGGCCTGGGAGACTGTCTGGTCAAGATCACCAAGTCTGACGGCCTCCGGGGCCTGTACCAGGGCTTCAATGTCTCCGTGCAGGGCATCATCATCTACCGGGCCGCCTACTTTGGCGTGTACGACACGGCCAAGGGTGAGTGTGTCCTCCCGGTGCCACGGGCCTGGGTGGGGGCTTCCGACAACCGCCAGGTGTGGGTCCACCGTCGTGCAGGCTGGACGCCCGAGATCCAGGTGTGGGCAGGCCTCGTTCCTCCTGACGCCTCTTCTTGGTGTGTAGACATGTCTTCTATCCGTGTCCTAACACGGTGCATCCTTGCTACCTTGCTGTGTCTGGTTATTTTTTTGTGGGGGGGGGCGACCGACACGTCTTATGAAGTTTGACGTGTGTGATCTCTTTCTATCTTGATCGTTTTTTTTTTAAACATTCTGTGTTCGGATACAATCTCATTTTGAGGTCGTAGGGTTTGGGAATGCAACCTGCATTTCTGAGAGTGCATAGTTCAGTGTCTGAGGGTCCGGGCCCAAGCCTGCTTGCTCCTCTGCAACAGGACAGCCTCGGGGGCAGCCTGCATTTCTGAGAATGCATAGTTGAGTGTCTGAGGGTCGGGGCCCAAGCCTGCTTGCTCCTCTGCAACAGGACAGCCTCGGGGGCAATCTGCATTTCTGAGAGTGCATAGTTCAGGGTCTGAGGGTCAGGGCTCAAGCCTGCTTGCTCCTCTGCAACAGGACAGCCTCGGGGGCAATCTGCATTTCTGAGAGTGCATAGTTCAGGGTCTGAGGGTCAGGGCTCAAGCCTGCTTGCTCCTCTGCAACAGGACAGCCTCGGGGGCGGCCTGCTCCCTTGCCCAGGCTCCTCCATTTGCTGCCCTGGAGAGGTCAGTCCCCGGAGCTCAGCTGGCCTGTGGGCCTGCCCCTCTGTAGTTTGCAGGTGGGCGTTCCTCATCCCAGGCCCTCTGGCCCACCGCATCCTGACCCACAGCGTCACCTGGTCCTGGGGCTCCATGAGGAGCCCAGTGGGTGGTGGGGGTGCGGCTCTGGCCTTGGGCGGGGGCGGGGGCGTGCAGCCGCGGGGCCTGACGTCGGCGGTGACCCCAACCACAGGCATGCTGCCCGACCCCAAGAACACCCACATCGTGGTGAGCTGGATGATCGCGCAGACGGTGACGGCCGTGGCGGGCGTGGTCTCCTACCCCTTCGACACCGTGCGCCGGCGGATGATGATGCAGTCGGGGCGCAAAGGAGGTAACTCGTGCAGCTCTGGGGGTGGCGGCTGGGGGCCCAGGGAGAAGGGCCGCCGGCTCCTCGCATGGCCTGGTCTCAGCCCCCAGGAGGCGTGCAGGCCTCACACAAGGCGCTTTGCCCCACTTTAGTCGGGCTTTGCAGGGGTCTCATCAGACACGAGGTCCTTTTTCTGGGCAGCACTGCATTCGCGACCCTTGACCTCCTCTCCAGGGTGTGCAGGGACCGTGCATGGACCCCGGGGTGGAGACGGGTCTGTGGAAGCTGCAACTCGAGTTTTGTGTGCTTCATCCCCATCCTCCCAGTGCAGCCCCCAGGGGGGTCGTGACCCAGGGCCCTCCGCCTCCAGGAGGGCCTCTTTGCCCCCCGGACGGTCCAGACTCCAGGTTGCCCTGCTGGGGGGTGTCCGGGGTTCAGCACCCGGTCCCGGGTTTTTTTTGTGGCTGTCCTCGCGCCTGTTCCCGGAAGACCCTCCCAGTGACCCCCACGTGTCTCCCCCCCCCCCCCCCCCCCCGCAGCCGACATCATGTACAAGGGGACCGTCGACTGCTGGCGGAAGATCTTCAAGGACGAGGGGGGCAAGGCCTTCTTCAAGGGCGCCTGGTCCAACGTGCTCAGGGGCATGGGGGGCGCCTTCGTGCTGGTCCTGTACGACGAGCTGAAGAAGGTCATCTAGGCGCCGGCCCGCCCCGCCCCGCCGGACACGGGACCAACAGCAGCGCGTACAATGCCTAACTCCTAACGGACCATTATCTTCCAGAAATTCCACTGTCCTCGTCCCGGCCGGACCCCGAGGAGCGAGCGGCCGGGACCGGGCTCTAGACGGGGCTCCTCGTGGTCGAGACCATCGGCACGCCGGTGCCATGCATCGGTGTCTGGGGTGGGGAGAGGGCAATCCTGCCGTCTGCATGGGTCCACGGCCAGGCAGCTCCCGACGCACGGCCCCGGGTCCAGGTGCCTGTGGGACCCGCGTTGTGTTTAAGTATTTATTTAACAAAGGAATCATGTCTCCCATTTGTACTTAAGCACTATCTTTTTTGCACAGCCGAATATCTGCGATTATGTTCTGTGTTGGGCGTTCTGCTGCAAAAGAATAAAACCGGGACACAGAGACCCCCGAGTGGTGGGCTGTTTTTTTGGGGGGGGGGCGGGGGAGAAGATTGTCCCTGAGCCAACATCCCGTGCTCATCTATTTCATGTGGGATGCTGCCACAGCATGGCTTCACGAGGGGTGCTGGGTCTGCACCCGGGATCTGAACCCGTGAACCCCGGGTGGCCCGGGTGTTGGTCTGTTTTTGAACCGAGCATCCTAATGGGGTGGGAGGCCCGAGTGGTCAGTGAGAGGCCACCCTCTGGACTTTGCACTAACCCCAACTTTTAAGGTTCTATGGGGAGCGGGGGGGATGCTGTGTTCTCCCACTGGGAAGAGGCAGGAAGGAAACCGGGCCCCCGAGAGCCCATGTGCAGCCTGGCCTGTGCCAAGGCCCCCCCCATGGATGGGGAAGAGAAACAGAAACTTGGGGGCTCATCCCATCCCGTGGCCCGTGCCTGCTCTGGGCCCCCCGCCCCCCAACTTCATTAGCGGCTCGCAAACGTCTCCAGCTGACCCCCGGGGGGTGCCCCGTGGGACATTCCGCACATCGGCATCCTCTCACTATTTAGCAAAAAGTCGGCGGATGGCAGGCAGTTCAAGCTGGCTTCCGCCCCGTAAGACCTTGGAACCTTAAGAATGCAAGCAAGCCAGAGAATCAGGTCACTGCACAGCGCAGCCCCCTCCTGGAGGCCAGGTTCCCGGACGCACAGGCGTCCTCTCTCCTGGGTTCACGGGTGGGCTGTCCTCCAGCGGGTCCGGGGGTGGCTCACCGTCAGGAATTAATAACACCGTGGGCGGGGCGGCAGGCAGCGGGGGTCCCCCCCTCCCCCCCTGCACCCCACGGAGGCCTCGCCGCCGGGACGCCCCCTGCCTGCTGCGCACGCGCCGCATCCCTGTGCGCGCCCCCCACCCCACCCAGGGGTCGTGCGGAGCTGGCGAGGGGCCGGAGGGGCGCTCTCGTGCCATAAGCCACTTAACGTGCTTGGGAGGGGGAAACGCAGCAAGAAAACGCAATGCCCTCCGACACAGAGCTCAGGGCGGAGCGCGTGCATGGATAGTGGGACCCTGGGCGCAAAGTCCGGTCTCTCCTGGCGGCCTCGGGGCGACGGGCCGGATCCCACCTTCGGGGGGACCACCGAGAGGGTGGAAAACTCTTTTATTTAGGAAATGAGCACGACACGACGTGTTTTGTTTTCTCTTTCTTCGTAGCGGCAGCTCCATGTACACAGCACTGGGGTGCACCCCACCCCGTCCCCCACCCGGCACCCGTGTCCATCCGTCCAACCGCGGCCAGGCCGTGCGGTGCCCCCCGAGGACGAGGCCCGGCCTCCAGCTTCACGTCTCCCCCACAACCTGCACCTCCGCCACCGGACACTCCTCCCGGGGGTCTCTGCCGGCCTCCCAGATCATCTGCGGGGACGCGGATGGGGCGACTCGCGCGCGAGCTGCACACGGGGCGCTGGGCGCACCCGCAGCAGCCTCAGGGGCCGGCAGGGCCAAACCACCACCCCCACAACCCCCACCTCCCCCCAAACTCCCCTCCCCCCCACCCCGAACTGGACACCACGCCCCCCACGTGGGCTCAGGCCCCGCCCACCGGGGCGAGCACCTCGGGGGACCACCCCCCTGGTCACATCCTGGGCACCCACTGGGGGCCCACAGACAAGCCTCCTGCTCCCCGGCCGGGCTGTGCCCACCTCGCCCCCAGACCACCACCCCCCCCCCCACCAGACCCGTACCAGCTTGTTCTGCAGGCTGTCACTCAGGGGGTCTTTCATGTGAGGGATGGGCGGGAAGATCTTCCGCATCAGCGAGTACCTGGGGGGAGACAGGCGTCCCCAACTCAGCAACCGGCACCAGCGACCAGGCCGGAGGCAGGACTCGACCCTCCCCCCCGAGGGGTCTCTAGGGTCCGGCCCCCAAGGCCTAGACAACGCCCGAGCGAGTAATCATAGTCTTGGCGCGAGCTAAACCTCCTTGACCCCATCCCCCTGCCAGAGACCCTATAAACATGGGGGCGGCCCCAGGCCCTTGTCATCACGGCAACGTGCCCTCCAGACAGCTGCCTCACAAAGCCCGTTGTCCCAGCTCGGGGCGCGGGGGGCCCACCCACTCCTAAAGCCCTGCCTTGGGCAGCCTGAAGGGGCTGGGAGGGTGGGGGCCACCAGGTGAGCACCCCGAGAAACACCCCAAGGCCAGGGCAGGGCTGGCATCACCGAGGAGGCTGTCACAATGCCGTCGCTGGCCTGCCGCCCGCTGGGTGGGGAAGGACACCCCCCAGAGCCACGTCCTGAAGGATGCTGGGGGCCAGGGAGTCTGGGCAAGGGGGCAAACAGTGGGGGCAAGCAGGGTGAGCCTGGCTGCAGCCCCCACGGGTGCTCGGGGTTCAGGGAGGGAGGAAGGGGGTGGGGTCCAGGATGAGGTTGCAGAATGACCCTTGCGGCCCCGGGAGGCCCGGGACGGGCGGGGGTGCGCACGCAGGGGGGTGGGGAAAGGCGCAGCGTCCGGTGTGCGTGGGGACCCCCCCCGGGAAGCCAGGGCTCGAACCCGGGGCCGCGGGGCGCTCACTTTCTGCAGATCAGGACGAGGAGCCCCAGCGCGAGCAGCGGGCCCAGCGCGGTCAGCGAGGCGGTCAGCCGGACGCGGAGGCGCGCGCCCTCCTCCTCGGGGTCGCACACTAGGGAAAGGGGGCGCAGGGGGCGCGTCGGGCCGGGCCGGGCCTGGGGGCGGGGTGGGGGGCCCAGGAGGGCGGCTTCACCCCAGCCGCAGGCGCTTCCGCGGGGGCCCCGGATGTGGAGGAGGCCGGCACGTGGAGCACCGTGCGCCTGGGGACGGCCGCCACCTGCGCGCCCACCCCCCTGCTCCCCACAAAAGGACACTGGGCCTTGAGCGCCGACGCGGGGAGCCCTCTGGTCTGGCCAGGGCGCAGGAGCCCCGGCCGCGGGAGGGATTTCAAAGGACTCGGGGGGCCTCCCCTCCCCGCCAGTTGGTCCCCAGCCAGGCCCAGCGGGAAGGGGGCGCGGCCGGGCGGCCCTGGGGAGGCGCGTCCGCCCAGCAGCGGAGGGACCCCCTTGCACCCCGTCCTTCGCTCCCTCCAGGGCTGCAGCGTGGGTGCCCCACCCCCTCGGTGCTTGAATTTGATCCTGCGTCCATCCTGGAGTTTTTGCAATAATTTCGATTAAAAAAAAAAAAAAAACCTATTGCATTAAAAGATTTGGGGCAAATAGTGAGCTCTTTGCCGCAGGGGCTGGACAGGCAACTCGCAAGAACAGCTGAGGCAGGGGGCTCAGAGTCTAGCAGCCAGGACAGGGGAACGTGACGGGAAACTGAGTCCAGCAGGGGAACACAGCACGGAAGGGTGGGTGGGCCTCGTCTAATCAGTCGAAGGCCCCCAAGAGAAAAGACTCCTATCTCCAAGGAAGAAGGAATTCTGCCTCCAGGTGGCCTTTGGACTCGACCTGCTGGACGCTGGGAGCCGCCACACCAGGGCCGTCTGCGGGGACATCGCAGCAGCCGCAGCGAGGAGGGCAGCTCGGGGTGGGCCCTCGGATGGAAGTGAGGGGACTCTGGTGCCAGAAGGGGCACGCGGCTTCCATGTGGTTATGAGTCCAAACCTGTGCCCCCAAGAGTCGCGTCCAGGTCCTGACCCCGGATGCCTCATTTGACCTCCATCCCCTCCTTAAAGACCCGTCTCCAAACACAGCCCCATCCTGAGGCCCTGGGGGTCAGGACCCCGACCTGTGAATTTGGGGGACACAGTTCAGCCCATCACAGACGGTCTTTGCAGGTGTGATGAAGGGAAGGATGGAGAGGAGGGCTTCCTGGAGGAGGCGGCCCTGAATCAAGGATGGAGAGGAGGGCTTCCTGGAGGAGGCGGCCCTGAATCTAAGGATGGAGAGGAGGGCTTCCTGGAGGAGGCGGCCCTGAATCATGGATGGAGAGGAGGGCTTCCTGGAGGAGGCGGCCCTGAATCAAGGATGGAGAGGAGGGCTTCCTGGAGGAGGCAGCCCTGAATCAAGGATGGAGAGGAGGGCTTCCTGGAGGAGGCAGCCCTGAATCAAGGATGCACAGGAGGGCTTCCTGGAGGAGGCGGCCCTGAATCAAGGATGGAGAGGAGGGCTTCCTGGAGGAGGCAGCCCTGAATCAAGGATGGAGAGGAGGGCTTCCTGGAGGAGGCAGCCCTGAATCAAGGATGCACAGGAGGGCTTCCTGGAGGAGGCGGCCCTGAATCAAGGATGGAGAGGAGGGCTTCCTGGAGGAGGCGGCCCTGAATCAAGGATGGAGAGGAGGGCTTCCTGGAGGACGCGGCCCTGAATGCAGGGACAGCGTCCTCCTCAGAGACAGAAGAGGAGACGCAGACGCAGAGGAGCAGCCCCGTGAGGACGGAGGCAGAGACGGGAGGGAGGCGGCCACCAGCCCGGGGACCCTGGAGCCCCAGACTCCTGCGACCCTTGACCCCAGACTCCTGGGCCCCAGGACGGGAGAGGGTGGACCCCTGGGGTTTTTAAGCCACCGGGGTTTGCGGTCATTTGTCTTCAACCCCCAAACTGAAACCGAGTTCGCTTCGGGAAGCCGCCCTCCCCCAGACTCAGGCCGGCAGGTGGCGGTCGAGGCCGCAGGAAGAGCCCGAGTTTTGAGTAGAAATCCAGCTGTTTCGGTAAACCAGAAAAGGGGCAAAGGCCGGCTCACGTGGCGCCCATGGGCTCTTCCACCCTAGACGCTCCCACTAAAGGGAACGACCCCGGGGAGGCCTCGCATCCCCCACAACCTGAACCCCAAAACGTTTTGGGGAGAACTGGGGGAGGCTCCAATTTCTCCCCGTAAACTTAGGGATGTGGCTTTCGCCGGGTCTGGACCGTCTTGAATTTTTTTTTTTTTTATGTCCATCGTTTCCTGCTTCCCGGGGTCGCAGGTCACCCTCAAGGTGGAAGGTGAGGGTCTCAACCGAGAGAGCCGGGGACCCTCGCCTGGAAGGCCCTGGGATCCAGTGGGCGATGTCCCTCCAGCGTGGACACACGGGTCCGGGTGGTGTAGACCTGCCCCCAAATTGACCCTTCACCCATCACCCCTTTGGTGGATAAATGACGAGCCATAGGATATATTGGTGTGCACGAGGAAGCCATTGGGGTGAAAACTAATTGGGCCTGACCCCTTTTTTTTTTTTCCCAAAAGGGTTGAGCGTGTGTGTGCATCTGCTTTCAACATTTACTCCAAAACATGACGCCCTTAAAGATAAGGATGCAGCTCCCGCCACTTCAGGATTTCCTGAAACGTGAGCATCTCTCAGCCAACAAAATCCCAAAGGTCAACGTGACCCCAGGAAGAGCCCAGGGGTGAGATGGAGATATTTCAAGAGACGTGAACCCACAAAGCCGGGTTTTCACGGCCCCCCAGACTAGGGGACCCATCTCAACTTTAGGGTTCAACACGAAGGAGGCTGGGAGAGAAGCATTGGGGTCACCAGGGGGTCGGAGGGGTGAGGGGTGCAGAGGGGACCCCGAGGGTCCTCAGGGGTCAGGAGATGAAGGATGTAGGGGCAGACACGACCTCTGAGTGAATTGCATCAAATGGGAGGAAGGGGCCTCCGTGATGAGCTCCCCGTCCCTAATGACATCTACAGAGACCCTATTTCCGTGACGCCCCAATCCCAGGCGCCAGGAGGGGGGATTTTCAGGTCCAGGACTGTCCTTCCTGGAGGACCCGTGGAGGTCCAGGCCTGATAGATTATGTTTATACACTCCACGTCAGTGGCCCAGGGTTCCCAGTTCTGATCCTGGGCACGGAGCTACACTCCACTCAGCGAGCCATGCTGTGGTGGTGTCCCACATAGAAGAACTAGAATGACCTACAACTAGGATATACAACTATGTACTAGGGCTTTGGGGAGAAAAAAAAAAAAACCAGGAAGATTGGCCACAGATGTTAGCTCAGGGCCAATCTTCCTCACCAAAAAAAAAAACAAAAAAAATTTTTTTGATTAAAGAAAAAGAGGAAACAGGAAGCTGCATCCTGGTGTCTCTGCTGTTAGGACCAGGATCTCCAGCTCCGCGTGAAATGGGGTGGGCTTTCGACCCAGGGAAGGGGTCGTTATTGGCTGTGTCCCCCCAAGGCTTAGGCCGTGCACGTAATGGAAGGGACGGTGTGCACGCTGGTTGAGAAAGAACCACACATGACACGTGTGCAGAGACTTTCCGTGTCAGCTGGGTTCCGGGCAGGGACAAGGTGAGCTGGGACGGAGGGCGTCCTCACCCGGCACCCACCTCCGCTGCCCCATAAATCGTCGGTGTCCCGGGAACCGCTGTTCCGCGTTATTTCCGTAAATACCGTCACGACACGGACATCACACCCTTTCATATTTTTGTGAATATTACTTTTGAGGTTTCGACACCAAACCTGCATCAAAAGAAGCTGCTTTTTGAAAAGAATTCCGAGCCCGCCGAGGCGCATCCTCATTGCTCCAGCCTTCGGGTGATTGACACCTTGTAAACTTTCCCATTGGTCCCGCCTTCAGGTGATTGACACCTTGTCAACGTTCCCATTGGTCCGGCCTTCAGGTGATTGACACCTTGTAAACGATCCCATTGGTCCCGCCTTCAGGTGATTGTCACCTTGTCAACGTTCCCATTGGTCCCGCCTTCAGGTGATTGACACCTTGTAAACGTTCCCATTGGTCCCGCCTTCAGGTGATTGACACTTTGTAAACGTTCCCATTGGTCCCGCCTTCGGATGATGGACACTTTGTAAACCTTCCCATTAGTCCCGCCTTCTGGTGATTGACACTTTGTAAACCTTCCCATTAGCCCCGCCCTCGGGTGATTGACACTTTGTCAACCTTCCCTTGGTCCCGCCTTCAAGTGATTGACACTTTGTAAACCTTCCCGTTGGTCCCGCCTTTGGATGACGGACACTTTGTAAACCTTCCCATTGCCCCCGCCTTCGGGTGATTGACACTTTGTAAACCTTCCCATTGGTCCCGCCTTCAGATGATGGACACTTTGTAAACCTTCCCATTGGTCCCGCCTTCGGTTGATTGACACTTTGTAAACCTTCCCATTGGTCCCGCCTTCAGATGATGGACAGTTTGTAAACCTTCCCATTGGTCCCGCCTTCAGATGATGGACACTTTGTAAACCTTCCCATTGGTCCTGCCCTCGGGTGATTGACACTTTGTCAACCTTCCCTTGGTCCCGCCTTCAGGTGATTGACACTTTGTAAACCTTCCCATTGGTCCCGCCTTCAGATGATGGACACTTTGTAAACCTTCCCATTGGTCCCGCCCTCGGGTGATTGACACTTTGTAAACCTTCCCATTGGTCCCTCCTTCGGGTGATGGACACTTTGTAAACGCTCCCCTTGGTCCTGCCTTAGGGTGATTGACACTTTGTAAACCTTCCCATTGGTCCCGCCTTCGGGTGATTGACACTTTGTAAACCTTCCCATTGGTCCCTCCTTCGGGTGATGGACACTTTGTAAACGCTCCCCTTGGTCCTGCCTTAGGGTGATTGACACTTTGTAAACCTTCCCATTGGTCCCGCCTTCGGGTGATTGACACTTTGTAAACCTTCCCATTGGTCCCGCCTTAGGGTGATTGACACTTTGTAAACGCTCCCCTTGGTCCTGCCTTAGGGTGATTGACACTTTGTAAACCTTCCCGTTGGTCCCGCCTTCGGATGATGGACACATTGTCATCGCTCCTGCTGACTCTCTTGAATATCCTCGTATTTTGTTTGTGGCTGGACCACCCCGCGCCCCAGTCAGGACGTCCTTGAAAGGGAGGGAGCGTCCTGTCTTCCTTTCATCGTGACACGCCCAGAAAGACAGAGATTTTTTTCTAGGCTGGATAAAAAAAAAAAAATAGGAAGTTCACAGTTCATTCTTTTGCATCTGCGTTTAGAGTGTTTCGGAGGCAACAGTCGTGCAGGAAACCCTGCTGGCGTTTCGCAACAGTGACTCAGTTCCAGGACTCCATGCGTTCATGCTACGTTTTTTATTATTCATTCAGCAAAGAGGTGCATAGAGTCATGGGCCACCCACACATTCTGGCTGTTGTGGCTACAACCGAAATTTCCCACCGTGGTGTGGGCGACCAGTCAGGCGTGAAACAAAGTTTTTAAAAGCACATGATTTAGCAGATAAAGGTTTTCGGAGCCTTGGGGCGAGGTGCAGGGCCTCCACACAGGGGTCAGGGTGTCAATCAACCAGGGTCGTGAATGGTGGTCTCCTGCAAAAGATAGAAAGGCTGGGGCCAGCTGGGTGGCGGAGCAGTTGAGTGCACACGTTCTGCTTCGGGGGCCTGGGGTTTGCGTGTTCGGATCCCGGGTGTAGACATGGCACCGCTCAGCAAGCCATGCTGTGGTGGTGTCCCACATATAAAGTAGAGGAAGATGGGCACAGATGTGAGCTCAGGGCCAGTCTTCCTCAGCAAACAAAAAAAAAAAAAAAAAGGAGGATTGGCAGCAGATGTGAGCTCAGGGCTAATCTTCCTCCAAAAAAAAAAAAAGAAAAGAAAGCAAAGATTGTGGACCTGCAAACACGCGCACGGGTCTATTATTTCTTTGTATGCACATGGTGGGGGGGGGCGGTTTGCACACTTCATTCTGCCCTATTCCTGGCTTCCTCGTTTCCCCCTTCAAAATATGCTGTAGAGACGTCTGTGCTGCTCCTATAGACGTAACCCGTTCTTTGCAACAGTTGCATTGCGTGCGTTGAGCGGATACAATAAAACTGTTACCCCTCCCTTGACTAGTGGACTTTTAA